ACTTGCTCCACTGCTTTCGGAAGTACGCACAGGATACGCAATAAAAAGTCTTGGTGATTGAGACACTGTTGACCAGAGCCACCTCAAAACCAAAAGTACAACGTCCCGCCAACCGGATTCGAACCAGTGACCTAAGGATTGCTTGACTACAGTCCTCCGCTCTACCAACTGAGCTATAGCAGGCTGATTACGGATTCGAACAAAACAACTTGAAATACAATTCTAATTACACCCTGATTCACTTGCCCTCTCCGCCATTGCGTGTTCCAGCCATCATGCATCTCGGCGTTGCTCGTCTCTCTAGTCTTCACTTCCCCATCTCCACTGCATTCCACCGATCCCGCCCTTCCGGCTTCCCGTTCCCCGCATTTCGCGATTCCGGTCCTTCCGCCTCCCAATCACCCACCAGCTTCGCGCAAGCCCCCCGCCCCGTTGCGCAATTCCAGGCGCATTCTTCCCCCCGGGCGCATTCTTCCGCCCAGGCTAACCCCGCGGAGATGGTGGCGGAGGCGGAAGCACTGGACGGCGCTGTCACCGCCACCAGTCCTAGAACTGCCGATAGCCTTTCTATCACCGCCAATGGCGCTACGAGATCCCTACTAAGTGATAGTAACAGCGCTACGGGTCCTATTACGGGTCCTATAACGGGTCCTATAACCTTGCGCGGGGTGGTGTTCGACATGGACGGGACCCTGACCGTGCCGTGCATCGACTTCGCGGAGATGCGGCGGCGCGTGGGCGCCACGAGCTCCGACATCCTGCACGAGATCGACGGCTGGGATGCGCCGAGACGCGCCGAAGCGTATCGCGTGATCGGAGAGATGGAGGAGGAGGCGAAGCAACGGCTGCAGATCATGCCGGGTGAGAGGCGGCTTGGATAATGCCTGCTTGGATGCACGGTTGTGTGCTAGCTTGAATGGGAGGTTGAGATAACATGGGATGAACGCAACATGGGTGCTAACATGGGATGAACGCAACATGGGTGCTAACATGGGATGATCGCAACATGGGTGCTAACATGGGATGAACGCAACATGGGTGCTAACATGGGATGAACGCAACATGGGTGATAACATGGGATGAACGCAACATGGGTGCTAACATGGGATGAACGCAACATGGGTGCTAACATGGGATGATCGCAACATGGGTGCTAACATGGGATGAACGCAACATGGGTGCTAACATGGGATGATCGCAACATGGGTGCTAACATGGGATGAACGCAACATGGGTGCTGACATGGGAGGAACGCAACATGGGTGCTAACATGGGATGATCGCAACATGGGTGCTCACATGGGATGAACGCAACATGGGTGCTAACATGGGATGATCGCAACATGGGTGCTGACATGGGATGAACGCAACATGGGTGCTAACATGGGATGAACGCAACATGGGTGCTAACATGGGACGAACGCAACATGGGTGCTAACATGGGATGAACGCAACATGGGTGCTAACATGGGATGAACGCAACATGGGTGCTAACATGGGATGAACGCAACATGGGTGCTAACATGGGATGAACGCAACATGGGTGCTAACATGGGATGAATGCAACATGGGTGCTAACATGGGATGAACGCAAGGTTTTGCGCTTTAATTGCATCATCCCATGCGCCAGCATCGTCATCTGTGTGATCGGGGAGGTGGAGGAGGAGGAGGAAGAGGCGAAGTTACGGCTGCAGATCATGCCAGGTGGGATGATCTGGTGGGGGTGTGTAACAGATGGTGAGGGTGTGCAGTGCAGTCATCCCATGATCCTTTTGACATGATCCTTTTGACATGATCTCATGATACCAAAACCAGCAATTTTTTAGAATTCTCTGAAATACCAAAACCAGCCAAATTTGATCCTATGTCTTCACGAACCAACAATATATGGCACAATGGTCCCATGTGCCAGCACTATTCCCCACTCCCCATATCCTTCTGCCGTTCCTCACTCCCCTGTCCCCCCTCCACCATCTCTACCCCTTACCGTGCCTAATGCCACTACCCCTTGCTCCCACCCCTCTCAGGTGCTCCTGACAAGCTGTATTGTTTCCTGGAAAGGGGCTGAAGCTTGCTCCGTGCAGAGAGGGTTCGATCCCTTTGCCCTTCCTCACTCCCTGCTCCCCCTCCCCCATACTTGCCCTTGCTCTCCCTAATGCCTCCACCCCTTGCTCTCGCCCCTCGCAGGTGCTCTTGAGCTTTGCTCCTTTCTCGACGCCCGGAATATTGTGTGAGGGTGTATCTCATCCCCATCCTCTCACCCTTCCGCGCATGCGCATCCCTCGCAGGTGCTTTCCAGTTGTGCTCCTTTTCTGACGCTAGGAACGTTTAATGAGGGTGTATTTCATCCCCATCCTCTCGCCCTTCCGTGCATCCTGGCAGGTGCTCTTGAGTTATGCTCCTTTCTTGACGCCCGGAACATTCGGCGAGGGCTCATCACGAGAAACGTGAAGGACTCAGTCGATCATTTCCATACCAGCTTCCAGGTGAGTCTGAGACTCGCCAAGAGGTACCTCTCTACCAGCTTAGGGCTTATAGCGAGAAATGTGAAGGACTCAGTCGATCATTTCCATACCAGCTTCCAGGTGAGTATTAGACTCGCCAAGAGGTACCTCCACACGAGCTATAGAGCTTAGTCCGAGAAATGTGATGTGAAGGACTCAGTCGATTTTCATGCCAGCTTTCAGGTGACTTCTGAATTCACAGTCAAACAAATCCAGGGAAAATTGGAGGCGTTTCAATGGTATTCATCCAGCAGTATTTGGCTGGTCGATTTTGCTCCACTTGATTCTGATATTCCGTATTCATTCTCTTCTCACCAGGTTCCCCCATTTTCGCCTGCTCTCAGTCGTGAATTCCAACCGTATAAGCCGCACGCAGCTCCTTTGTTACACATATGTGCACAATGGGGAGTATCTCCTTCAGAGGTGATTATGGTTGGCGACTCTGCTAAAGATGATGTAAGTACCGGTTTTTTGTTCAAGGACTTTCACATGCAATCTAGAATACGTGGGTGTCTTTTCAAGTTACGTGGGTGTGTCTTTTCAAGTTGCCAACGGCTGGACTTGAAGAATATTGCTTACTTTGACTGCTCCCTGCCCCTGCTACCATTGGTTGCATGCAGGTGGTTTGTGGAAAAAGAGCAGGTGCTATCACTTGTTTACTTGACGAGGCTGGTAAAGTTCCCAGGGTCGATGAGATGCCAGAGGATATACGACCCCATTTTCGTATAAGACGTCTAAGTGAGATGTTGGATCTCCTCATGTCTCAAATGTTTGTGCTTGGCTGAGAGTATTTCACATTTTAATTATATTTATCCTGATACACCTTTTGCGGTTTCGTTCTGATTTGTTTGTGGTGGTGTAAGGAACTCCGATTCCTTACAGGGACTCGCCACAGCAAGTACCTCGAACAGTGCGGGTCCGCAGGCTCGGCCCTGGGTTATCGCGCCAAACCAGCCCCCGACAAGCTTTTCGGCCCCAACCTGACCCCGAATCGCCCCGAGCCCGTTTTGACCCCGTCACCCTCGGACGACCGAGCCCTTGACTGGTCCAACCCTCGACATTTCGACCTGGTCAACTCGCACTATATAAGCCCTAGGTCTCATTATTCAGGAGGACTCTGGAATCACGTTCCCCTATAGTATTCTGCGCTATACTCTGAGTTATAATTCATAACAGGTGGTGTTAGCAATCAATTCCCGATTCCGCGGGATCTGTTCGTCAGTGGCTTCCACTTGTGTGTCTCCACCTGTCCAGCCTGGTTTCATCTTCGAGCTCAGCACTTTGCCAGTACGCACACGTGGCCGGCTGGGTGACAGGGGAGAGTAGGTGGATCACCGACTGATTGACGTTTCTGGACCGACATGTCGCCAAGTGTGTCAGACTGACAGCCCAGCAGCAAATTCGCGCATCTAGAGCGAATCTCCTGCCTAGCTGGTTGTGCTTCGCTGGCGACTTCCACACCGAAAGCACCGACGAACCGTCCTCAAGGCTGCTCGAACCGAACCAAACACGGATTTAGGCTGCCGATGACGAGTATGCCTTGCTGGCGTGCGCTGCCCAACCGCTTCCAATATATTTGTGGCCAAGAGAACATGTTTAGACCAGAGCACCCCATGGCACCAGTCTGATACTCGCAGAAGCGCAGCATATACTCATTCAACCGTTTTGGACCGCATTCTAAGGTCCTGAAGATCTGACGTCGGTGAACATGAGCACCCCAGCCCGTTTGGCGGCGCAGCCTTACCAATCGGCCAACTGCGCATCACTGCTGTCGGTTACAGTACACTGCCTCGCTGCCGAAGCAGGTGTTGCGGCGCGGTTCATCATGACATCAGTCGTGCGGTTCCGTTCTGTTCGAGTCAACCAGCCGTGGCTGAAAACCATTTCCAGGTTCGGCAACTGATCAGTCCCTGACTGGTTCGCTGAGGTTCGGTAATTCTGTAGAGGGCATGAAAATGGGAGACTCGAGACAAACGAGACGTCGGCGACTCGTCTTCCCCAGGGCAAAACGCGAATCGCCGATTTTCTTCGATGAGGTTTGCGCTGTGCCTTGCCTCGCCTCACCTTCCCCCTCCGTGACTCCCCTACCACCCACCGTCTAGCTGCGGTAACACCAGAATCTTCCTTAAACTAACAAAGCCGCCCTGGACCGAGTCTAAACAGACCAAACCGACTGCTCCTTCTCTCTTGCTCTTGTCTCTCGATGGTTTCTTCCTCTAGCGTTGCTTGCCTGCCTGTTGGTTGTTGGTCATCGGAAATCGCGTTGCTTGCTTGCTTCATGTGCTGGTCACCAGCCAGTCTCAGTCACTAGTCAAACCGACCCTTCCTGTCATCTTGCGTCGCATTATCCGCACATCCAGATTTGACAGCTCGCAACGCAAGACTGCCCAGCCAAAGCGCGTGCAACAAGAGGCTCTGGGGTGTTGCACGCGTCCGTTCCCTTCTCTTCACCTGTCTCCCTCGATTACAGCATTTCCACATAGAAGCTGCCGTTCGTTCAGACCCAGAAAAGCTGCTTGAACGCCTCCAGGAGAGCTTACAATCATCTCCCTCGTTCGTGAATTTTGAGTCTACCGGTAGTTAGAACGCCTTCAGCTCTATAATTGCGTGCGTCCCATGCTCCTTCCTCACCTCTATTCGTCGCGGTCTTCGCGTGTTACTCCACAGCCGCGTGTTATTCGCCTCACGGTCTCGTGTGCAAACCCTCTTTCCCTTTCTAAATTCGTCTCCTAGTCAAACCGCTCAAGTATTTTACCGACGCTTCAGAACGCCGCCGCGGCCGCTTTTTACGAACCATCCACTCCCACAGCAGCCATAAACGGTCTCAGTCCCGAAGTAGTCGAGGTTACCCCCGGTTCCCGATTTCCCCTTTCCCGCTGCAATCCAGGTGGTGAATCAAAAATCACCTCGCAATCCAGGTGGTGAATCAAAAATCACCTCGCAATCCAGGTGGTGAATCAAAAGTCACCTCGCAATCCAGGGGTGAATCATCAAACGCTCCTGCGGCGTTCAGGTGGTCGCAATGCTTTCATCCGACTCCTTCCTTCGCGATTTGATCGGCGGCCGCTACCGCCGCGTGCGGCTGATCGGCCGCGGCTCGCACGGCACGGTGTGGGAGTGCGAGGACATCCACACGTCGCTCCGGGTCGCCTGCAAATCCATCCCGCACGTGCGCGACGCGTCGTCGCGAGTGCACGCGGCGCCTGTGCGCGTGGATGACATCTGTACGGAGGTCTGCGCTTTAAAGACGGTCGGCGGGCATCCTAACGTCGTCGGTCTAGTCGAGGTAATAGTAGATCCCGCCGAGGCGCACGTAATTATGGAGTTGGCGCCGGGCGGGGATCTCCTAACGGAGCTCATGCGGCGCGGCCCGTTGAGCGAGCCGCTCGCCGCTACAGTGGTGCGGCAGCTCGCGTCGGCTGTCGCGTTCTGCCACGCGTGCGGCGTCATGCATCGCGACATCAAGCCCGACAACGTGCTGCTCGTGCGCCCTCCGCCGCCGTCCGCGCGGGCGCCGCCGGTGGCAGTCGCGCTCGCAGCCGCAGCTGCGGAATCCGAGCGGGGCTCGGAAGCGGATGGCGGAAGCGCAAGCGCAAGCGCAAGCGGAGGAGGAAGCGGGCGCGCGCGAGGTCCGGCTCATCTGCAGGTTTTGGAGCGGGAGGGAAGGAGCAGCGCGGAACGCGGCAAGTTTACAGGGAACGGCTGGGAGCGCAGCAGCAGCGGGAGCAGCAGCAGCAGCAGCAGCGGGAGGTCGCATCAACCCATGAGTCGCAATCTTCATCACAATCACCATCAACATAATCACAATCACCATCCAGGGCACGTGGTACGGGTTTTCGGGAACCGAACCAACGTGTTCGGCTTGACCAACAGCCAAAGCACAGGCGGGATTTTGTCGCGCGGAAACGATGCTTCCGCGCATGCTTCTCCGCCCGCCAGAACCGGCGCAGCGTCGCTCCCCTCTTCCCCTACAAAATCCAAGCTACGTTGCGCTGACTCCCCCGCTTCCCCCTCGTCCCCCGCCTCCGTCTCCGCCACATCGTCGCCTTCCCCGCCCGCCTCCCCCTTACGAAACAAGAGTCCGCGACCCTACAATCCCGCAGGCCCCACTTGCGCTTCGGCCTCCCTTTCCTCCGCCTCTTCCTCCGCTCTCGGCGCTTCTTCCGCGCGCGGCGCAAGCCTTCGCGCGGGCTCCCCTTTGGCGGAAGATTACGTGGGCGCGGAGCGGCAGATTCTGGGCGTGAAGCTCGCGGATTTCGGCGTTTCCGCGATTCTCAAGGGCGGCATGCGCGAGATCCGGCGCAGCAGAGGCGCGGGGACGCCAGCCTATATGGCGCCGGAAATGGGCTGGGGGAAGAGGGGAGACGGGCGCGGGGAAGCGGGGGAGAAGTTGGGGGAGAAGGAGAACGGGGCGAACAAGGGGGATGGAGTGCATGGCGGGGGAAATAACCCTAGTTTATTGGATCTGCCAGCGTATGGTGTGAAGGCTGATGTGTGGAGCCTCGGGGTGACACTGTGCACAGTTTTAACTGCCCGAATTCCCTCCCATCCTGTAGATTTCTCGAAAAAGGAGTGGGAGGGGGTATCTGACGACGCGAAAGATCTGGTCCGTCGGATGCTGGTGGTGGACCCGGATCGACGGCTGAGCTCGTTCGAGGTGTTGGAGCACCCGTGGCTGAATCAGACGGCCGTTCGATCCTTGGACCCTGCTGTCCGCTGCCCCCACCTGCTCTCGCCCGCCCTACCTGGCACAACGAGTGGTAACCAGGTTACAAGAATCGTCTGCATGTAGCTGCTGAAGGTGCCCTCTCCCCGACTCCTCGATCCTTGGACCCCGCTGTCCGCTGCCCCCACCTGCTCTCGCCCGCCCTGCCCAGCAAAACCAGTGGTAACCAGGTTACACGGATTGTCTGCATGTAGCTGCTGCAGCAGGGACAGCAGTGAAACCAGTCGAAAGAGGTTGTAGCAGGGGCAGCAGCTAATGGTAACAGCAGCAGGAGTAGCACGAAAGGCTGTAGCAGGGGCAGCAGCAAATGTTGTAGCAGGGGCAGCAGTGGCTGGTGAGGGCTGCACTAGGGGCAGCAGGTAGCCCACATGGGACCAAGACTGCAATGCAAACAGCAAGTATACCTCCATACCAGCAGCAGTGGTATTGACTCCGAGGCGGCTCAATCGTCAACCAGACAAATAACGTGAACAAGGAGATGGTGGGAGGGCGATGTACCACCTTATGTGTTCAGGCATGCATCCCTTCCCACCTTACTCCTTGCACTAATAACGAAGCGCCCCTTACAAGGCCCCAGGAGGAGCCATGGCCCAGGGCTTACGGCAATCGAATTATCCTCAGCACACCGTTAGAATACTACTGTACCTACATCTGGTGGGGAGGAGCTGGAACGTTACCATGAGCGAAGTAGGCTGAAGAGAGCTCTTGGATCAAGAGGTACTCCTTATAAGGGCCCCTCGGTAACAGCCAGGGCGTTCTGTACTGTACCTATGGTAACAGCCAGGGCGTTCTGTACTGTACCTATGGTGGTGGTGGCCCCGTGATTGAGTTTTGCGCCGGACCGGAATGCACCTACCTACCCTTGTATTGGTTTGGAAAATCTAATGGATTTGCCCCATTGCTCCTACGTTAATTTTACTGTATGACGTTATGAATTACGGTACCATAGCATTTAGCTGTTCTTCCGAAACAAGGGTGACTTGGAAACAGCACAAGCATGTGCAAAACAAGGTGTTCACATACCCATCTTGTTCAATAACAAAAATTAGAGGGCTCTTACAACACAAATGAGGGTGCAACCCCACCCCACCGGCACACATCTGCCGCGCAGCTCCAAGGCAGAATGCCTGGATCCAAACTATAGCCGGACACAGCGCGTAGTGCTCAAAACTGTCACTGCTCCCCTGTGTGTAAGCAAGCAGCTGCAGGCACCCTCAGACCTTAGATGCAGGGCGCCAATACTAGGATCCTACATGTTTTTCCGTGGGGTGGGAGTGGGAAAAGCAGGTAGGGTGGGGGGGAGAGAGGGCAGAGGGAAAGAGGTGGAGTGGGGTGGGGCGGTGGAGTGAGGTGGAGTACGGTGGAGTGGGAAGAGCAGTTGCAATGGGAAAGAGGAGGTGCAGTGGGGAAGAGGTGGAGTGGGGTGGAGGTCAGGTGAGGGGACATGGGAGGAGTGGGAAGACGAAGCGGAATGGGGGGAGGAGGTGCGTTGGGTAACAGGTGGAGTGGGGTGGAGGGGAGTGGGAGGAGTGGGGAGGAGGAGGTGGGGTGAGGGGGAGATGGAGTGGGGAAGACCAGGCTGAATGGCGGGAGGAGGTGCATCGAGAAAGAGGAGGTGGGGTGGAGGGGAGTGGGAGGCGGGAGGCGGGAGGAGCGGGAGGAGCGGGAGGAGCGGGAGGAGCGGGAGGAGCGGGAGGAGTGGGGGAAAGCTGGGAATAGAGTGGGTGAAGCTGGAGTGAGCGGGTGAAACCCGGTATGTTGGAAGAGAATGGGAGAGGAGAGGTGACGTCACTCCCTTCCTCTGTTCCCTCTGTCTCATGCAGTTACAGCAGATAGCTCAGCAGATACGCACAGACAATCCGTGTAACCTGGTTACCACTGGTTTGCTGGGCAGGGCGGGCGAGGGCAAGTGAGGGCAGCAGACAGCAGGGTCCAAGGACCGAGGAGTGGGGTCAGCAGCTACATGCAGACGATTTTCGTAACCTGGTTACCACTCGTTGTGCCAGGTAGGGCGGGCGAGAGCAGGTGGGGGCAGCGGACAGCAGGGTCCAAGGATCGAACGGCCGTCTGATTCAGCCACGGGTGCTCCAACACCTCGAAAGAGCTCAGCCGTCGATCCGGGTCCACCACCAGCATCCGACGGATCAGATCCATTGCATCTTCCGGCACACGTCTCCACGCCTCGTGCTCGAAATCCAACGGCAGAGTGGGGATCCTGGCGGTTAGCATCGTGCATAGAGTCATCCCCATACTCCAGACATCAGCTTTAAAGCCATATCTACCGCCGCCGCCGCCGCCGCTAATGCCATGAATTGCCCCCATACCACGGGTAGCATCGACCGCATGCACTGCCATGCCAGGAGTTCGCCCCATGCCATAAGCTCCCACCCCCATAACACCCCCGTTATAAGCTGACCCGCTACAGGTCATCTCAGGCGCCATGTACACGCGCGTGCCCGCGCCCATGTCCTGCCGTTGGGCGGAGAGCCCCCCGCGCATGAGCGCAGCCACGCCGAAATCCGCGATTTTCGCTCCGAGAATCCCCCTTCCTGAACCAGCGTGCTGCTGCTGCTGCTGCTGGCCTAAGGGCTCTCCGTCTGCTGCTGCATTCCCTGTGGTAGTCCTGCTGCCATTGGTGCTGCTGCTGCTGCTGCTGTTGCTGTAGTTGGTGGCATTCGCCGGGGTACTTGAAATATTGACCTCGCTATTACACCGACGGTTCGCACTCTGCCCCCTAATCCCATCGCGAGGTGACGTGGAACGACTGGAGCGAACGGGAGAGGAAGGCTCCGATATAACGTCTCTTCGATACAATCCCTTGCAATCGCCACGTACAGGACTGCTGTGAGCAGCTACATCCGAACTTCCAGGAAAAGAGCAAACCTCAACACTGCTACAGCCGCTGCTGCTACAACCGCTACCGCTGCTGCAGTCACTATTGCTGCTACAACTGCTGTCACTGCTACAGTCACTGCTGCTGCTACCGTTGCTGATACAACCGGTGCTACAGCCGCTGCCGACCCTCGTCAGAGCCTGGTTGGACCGGTTAGCTAACGCCCGCACTGCGCTTCCAGGAACCCGCCTCTTAAACCTCTCCCCCAACACCCTCTCCCCCGCAAACCTCCCCCTCTCCCCCGCGAGCCCTCCGGAGAACCTCCCGCCCGCCATCCCCTCGCGGGATTCCGCTCGTAACTCCGCCGCCGGAGCCCCACATTCTTCCGCCGCTGACGTCACCGCTGTAGTTCTTGATGACGTCATCGCTGCCGGCGGCGGGCGCACGAGCAGCACGTTGTCGGGTTTGATGTCGCGGTGCATGACGCCGCACGCGTGGCAGAACGCGACAGCCGATGCGAGCTGCCGGAACACTGTAGCTGCGAGCGGCGCGTCCAGCGGGCCGCTCCGCATGAGCTCCGTTAAGAGGTCCCCTCCCGACGCGAGCTCCATAATTACGTGCGCCTCGACGGAGCCTACTACCACGTCGACGAGTCGCACCACGTTCGGATGGCCGCCGACGGTCTTTAAAGCGGATATTTCGGTGCAGACATCGTGGATGTGCGGCGCGTGAGGAAGAGCGTTTCGAGCGCCAGATGCGCCGCATTTCACGGCAGGAACCCCGGCAGGATCTGCGCCGGAAGCGGCCCGTGCTAGCAGAATCGTTTTGCACGCGACGCGGAGCGACGTGTGGAGGTCCTCGCACTCCCACACGCTGCCGTGCGAGCCGTGACCGATCACCCGCAACCGGCGGTAGCGACCGCCAATCAGAGCGCTGCTTTCGGAGGCGGGCGGAGGGAGCGCCCGCGCGTTCTTACGAAGCCGATAGTCCGACATCTCGAGAAAACTAATACGCGCTCTTCCACGAATATTTTGAGCCGAGTCAAAATACAGAAACTGATACGCTCTCCCTTCCACGAAACGGTAATCGGATTGAAATGCCGCAAACTTTCAAGTCGGAGGGGGGTGGGGGACGAGTCGAATGGAGAGAATAAAAAAAAAACTAGCTCAACAGAGAGAAACACAGTCGAGAGCATGGAGGGATCTCCGGCCCCCTTGAACTTGGAAGTTGGAAGATTGAAGGGCCCTTTCGCAATCGGAAATGCACTGCCAGTAGCTACAGAGAATCGGAGGGGCCTTCCCGTGGGACGGACGGTCCGACGCTCGAGAGTCGATCGATACCTTCGCTTCGCCTTCACGGTTGGGAATGTCTGACCTGAGCCTTTCTCTGTCGTTCTCTCATTCTCTCTATCAAGCTAATATCGTCTGCTCTGCTCTACGTGCTGCCATCGGCCTCTCTCTACTCTGTCAGATGACTAGGCGTGCTGCTGCTGCTGATGCGTACCAGCGACGCACATGGGTGGCCTGACGACTATAACTTACCAACTGATAATTGAGAGGGTCAGCCATTGCCAGAAGGGAAGCCATTGGAGTTGTCGAGTCGAGTGGAGGTGTGATGGAAGAAAGGAGTGCGTTCTACTTCAGGTCAGACCAAACCTACACCGCAGTAAAACCCTTTGAAATGCTATAAGTGCTACTAAACCTAGCTCAACCAGACTGAAAGCTCGTTTCTTTCCCAGAATCAGAAACTGCAAAATCACGAGGGCATTGAACTGGGCTGCTGCTTGTGTGGCACGGGCGCGGGATTCTCTCATTCCGCCTAGGCGCTGAGCTGGTAGCGGCGCCAGAAAGCAGCAATTCCGCACGGACCCTACGTGGCCATGACGCAGACGGGCAGCAAGCGGAAACTCGCCCTCCACATGGAGAGACGAATGAAACGCGGCAAACCTTTCGCGGGCGGGACAAGTTTTGCGCCTGGCCCTCAAGGCGTCACGCGCACTCCTCGGACATGGGCGAAAACGTGTCGCCTGGTCGGGTTTGGCTGGTTCGGTTGAGCCGAAATGCGCAAGCAGCTTTGTTTGGCCTGGTGTGGAGCGCTGATTCCAGGCTTGGCGGCGCACCGCGCGATGATTGCGCATGCAATTAGGGAATCGAGAGAGCTGCTCCCTGAGCAGCCTCTCTGGTTCGGATATTGAGACTCCGTCCAAATTTCCAGCCCCGATGCGTACACCCTGTTATTCAATTCAAGAACACGCAATTAAAGAATTTTTTTGGTACATTCAACTTAGTTTTGGGAACCAATCCCATAGCTAGAGGTGGCGTGCGAAATCAACCGACCACAGCGTCGCTAACACTCACATCGCAGAAACACGCATGTGACGAACCAGACACCATCTTTCCCGCCAATAGGCCTGGACCTCATGTGACGTGGCGAGCTCATGTCTGAGGGAATCGCCGAGGACGGTGGCTTCGCTGACTGGTCAAGGGGCTCTAAGGATGAGACCCCCTTGCCGAGACCAGAAGAATGGGTGCACTTTCAACAAAGCGGCTACTTGCCCCTAAAATATATTTGTTTCAAGCTTACAGTAGAGCTTCCCGAGTTACTGGAATGAAAACGCGACTGAAAATTGGGCGTACAAGCGAAATTGCGTGATGATGTCGGCTATGAAGACGGAGTGGCGCGATATTTAGTTGGTGGGGTGATTAATATGTTTCTCCTGCGAGTTCCAGGGAAACGACGAATGAGCGAAACTGGGCCAATGTGATAATAAAGCGATACAGTCACTCGGCACAAAAAACAATCACACCTGTCGTTTCAAAACCTGTGACATGATCGAATATCTGGGTGTACTTGTGTTGTCGAGCCAGCACAGCAAACATTGCGCGCCACGGCACGGCTTCGATCGTGTGGCCGGTGAAGATTTGCAGCCACAGGCCAATGCGGCAGGAGCACCTGGTTCGAATAACGGCCGGCAATTACATGGGTAACTAGCATGGCTGTTTCAAATATCCAGTACGTCAGCTTCAATTTCGTCATCCCATAATACTGTACCAGAATATTCATAAGTGGTGGTGGACGTCATCCTTTACGGATGCCAGCCAGGTGATGACCGTAAACCTCCACCATGGCAATGTTTTTTAGTCCGTGACCTTCGTCACGGGAAACAGCGCTGGAAAGCATGTGTATCGGTTTGAAAGCTTCACGTACACGTTCATGGGCAGGGAAAATCACATGTTTCTAGTCGTGCAAAGGTTGCAGAAACGGCACCACACAGGGAGCACGTTTGTGACCCGGTCCACCCATTTCACATTGACCTGAAATTGAGCTGATGCAGCCATTTCGCACCTGACCTGAAATTCCTCCCAGCCAATTGAGCCAGGAGAAATGTTCGGCACCGTTGAATCGCAACAAACCCGAGATTTTGTCTGAGCAACAACCTGATCACCAAAAATACAGTTGGTGAGATGCCTGAAGCCGAGGACTGCACCATGATAGGTCTGCACAGCCGTGGTAAGCAGGTTTTGATAAAAATATACACTACAAGATTTGCACAAAACTATGAACAACGCAATCTAAGTAGGGCGAAAGCAGATGCTTAGCTGAGGGACTTCTCATTGCCACTCACTACACTGACAATATTCATCATAAAGATTCCTTCGCAGCATGGGTAGCAATTAAGATTGCAGAAACCTTCTCCGCATCAGTTTGCATGACCACCCCTTCAGGAGGCAAACTGCGAGGGCAAGAAATATTAATACCGTCACAATATGGAATGTGAATGTGAGCATATAATATACGATATAACAGGAGAAGAAAGTGAGCTGGAATACTGACGTTGTAGCACGGAAGGGGCAGAGAGGGTTGGAGTGGATTGGCTCGGGTTGCGTCCCCAGTGATCGTGCGGATGCATGGATGTGGGCCACGCCTGATCGGGTAATGATGGTTGCGGCATTCTCTGGTGTTACCCCGCCTGCCGAGAAAAAGGGTGGTGACAAGTGGGGGCAGCGAGGGGGCAAGTGGGGGAGAGGCGGGGTAAGAGGCGGTAACAGTCGGTGAGACAGGTGGCACCAGCGATCGTGCGGATGAATGGATGTGGGCCACGCTTGATTGGGTGATGACGGTTGCAGCATTCTCCGGTGTCACGCCACCTGTCCGTCTGGGTACAGAAAATGAGATATGAGGGGTGAAGAGGGGTAAGAGGCGGTAACAGGTGGGTGGCGCCAGCGATCGTGCGGATGCATGGATGTGGCCAACGCCTGATCGGGTAATGATGGATGCGGCATTCTCAGGTGTTACCCCGCCTGCGGAGGAAAGAGGCGGTAACAGGTGGGGGCAGTGAGGGGGGAAGCGGGGGAGAGGGAGGGTAAGAGGCGGTAACAGGCGGTGAGACAGGTGGCGCTAGCGATCGTGCGGATGCATGGATGTGGGACACGCCTGATTGGGTAACGATGGTTGCGGCATTCTCTGGTGTTACCCCGCCTGTCCGTCCGGGTACGGAAAAGGGGATGAAGAGGGGTAAGAGGCGGTAACAAGTGGGAGCAGCAAGAGGGGAGGGAAGAGGTGGGAGCAGGTGGGGTGGGGCACACCTTCCAATCATGTGTGCCTCTTTGAATTTGAATCAAGTGAAGTGAATCACCTTCCAGTCGTGTGCCTTTTGAGTCGGCTTTTGAGGCGCCTCAAAAATAGACTCCTCACGCGTGAATCAAGTGAAGTGAATCACCTTCCACTCGTGTGCCTTTTGAGTCGACTCAAAAGTCATCTCGGGGCACACCTTCCAGTCATGTGTGCCTCTTTGAATTTGAATCAAGTCCGCTCCATGTCTCCAGTATATCTCACCTCCCTCCATAATATCTCATCTCCTGCCATGAAGTGAATACTCCCTTTGCTTCATTCACCAGCCTTTGTATCACACAAATCACCCCCCAGCCTTTGTATCACACAAATCACCCCCCAGCCTTTGTATCACACAAACCACCCCCCAGCCTTTGCATCACACAAATCACCCCCCAGCCTTTGTATCACACAAATCACCCCCCAGCCTTTGTATCACACAAATCACCCCCCAGCGTTTGTATTCGCAGCCCTTGCTCCACACCTCCTCTGCTCTGCCTCTTTGAAGTTGAATCAAGTCCGCTCCCTCCCTCCAGTATCTCTCACCTCCTGCCATAATCTGGATCCCCCTGCTAGACTGCCCTACCACATAGCCTTACCACTTCTCACCTCCTGCCATGATTTGGTGTTCCCCTGGGACTCTCCCACCAGTTGCCGAATCACCCCCATGCCTTCCTCTGCTGTGGCCCTACCACCGCCTCTACTCCCCTAGTTGGATTGCCCTATCGCCTGGCCTAAACACACCTCACCTCCTGCCATGATTTGGATCCTCCCTTGGGATTCTCCCACCAGCTGCTGAATCACCCCCACGCCTTCCTCTGCTGTGGCTCTCTGGCCAGATGTCAGGATTCGTTTCACCCCTCCGCTCGATATAAGAACCTGAGCAACGCAAGAACCAAATAAGCACTCATACTGTTACCGTACGGGCGTACACATGATCAAATCCGCACCTTCCTCTGTTGTGGCTCTCTCACCGATGCCAGCACTCGTTTCACCGCTCAACTTGCTATAAAGCTGTGCTGTGCTGTGCTGTGCTGTGTTGTGCTGTTCTGTGCGGTGCAGTGTGGCAGTACGTTGAGTTGAGTGCTGAGTAGACCCACAGACAGTCCTGCACACTGCAGAGCAGTGCACTCAGTGCACGTCGAGTGACCTTCCACCCACCTGCAGAGCAGCTATGGGGTCCTTCGTGTGGTCGAAGGCTCGGTGGAAGGTGACTTGCAGTGAGTGCGGTGCTGTGTGGTGCTGTGCGGTGCAATGTGACTGGGTTTTGTGCTCACACCGAAGACCCACCCGTAAAGCAGCCATGGGGTCCTTCGTGTGGTCGAAGGCTCGGTGGAAGGTGACGTGCAACGAGTGCTGTGCTGCACATTGTACAAGACGATTCAGCTGGATAAAGGTAGGGAGAGACGCGGGGGGGGGGAGGGGGGGGGAGCATAGGGAGAACAGGAGAGAAGAAGGGAGGGTTGGGAGGGACGGTGTCTCCATTGCATTGCAACCCTTGCAGTGAGTGCCGGGAGGCACACTGCAGATGGGAAGGAGTTGGATTCGATCCACAGCAAGCCTCGTAAGAGTAGATCTAGGCGGCACACTGCAGGACTCTTGATGCGCCGTTTTGGGGCGCCTCAAAACTGGGCGGCACACTGCAGGAGTTCAGAAGCGCCTCAAAACTGGGCGGCTCACTGCAGGAAACGGTTACGGTGAAAGAATCGAGGGTCAGTTCTAGTCTCAGATCTACTCTTGGGAGACCTTCTACTGGGGAACTGCGGATCGAGCCCACCTCGTTTTCGACTGCAGGAAACGGTTGAGCTAAAATAAGGGGGATGAGGGACTTTTGAGGTCACTTTTGAGTCGACTCAAAAGTCACCTGGTCACTTTGAGTCGACTCAAAAGTCACCTAATAAGGGGGATGAGGGGCTTTTGAGGTCACTTTGAGTCGACTCAAAAGTCACCTAATAAGGGGGATGAGGGACTTTTGAGGTCTGAGAGCCACACAGCAGGAAACGGTTGAGGTGAAGAAGGGGGATTGGGTTGGGGGAGGGGACGTGAGAGGGGTATGGACGGATGTGGATGGAGGGCGGGAGAGATGAAGGGATGGACGGAGATGGTTAGATGACTCGAAACAAGCGGCCTTTGTACACACACACACACACATATATATATATATATATATATATACTATGTAAATATATATACATTAACAGGTATGTACAAAAAAATATACACCTTACCTTCGGTTCGTCAATGTCTCCCCCAGGAGTCAAAGCCCCCACCACCACCCCAGTTGCCCCGGCTTTAGCACACTCGTTAATGTCACACTCCATAGCCTGCAAGAAAACGGAAATGGGGCAACGAAAATTGCGCAATAGCATTGGAAACAGACTCTGCCTGCGTGTGTGTCACACTCTAACAGTCCAATGCCTGCGATGCGAAGGTAGGCTCGAATGGGGTAGTAACACATGTGATTGGGGCCACATGATATAAGGTTAGTTTTGAGACGTCTCACGCGGTAGTAACCTTTATCACGCGGTATGCTCGAATGGAAGAGTAACACGTGCTTGGGGCTATATGGCCTGGTTTGCTTTATACATTCCATAATGTCACATTACACTCAATGGCCTGGTTTGCTTTATAGCCTGCAAGAGTATATTCGAATGGAATAATCGCAGATGCTTGGGGCTATATGCTCCATAAGGTCACACTCCATGCCCTGGTTTGCAGCCATACAGCACATGCATGGGACCAGACTGCATATAACAACACCATAGCATAAGGTGCTGACAAGAAGGAAGTTACGCTACAATATGTTATATTGATGTTTCTTGTAATGTAATAACACAACAAAGATAGGATCATACAGTAAGGTGCAGAGAGCGACATCTTTACAGACAACAAGTGATGAGATGAGGGGAGGAGAGGGGCTTACTAGTGGCCGACCTTCATCTCATCTTCGCTAAAGACAAAGTCGCCCGCCCTGGGCCGAATGAGCACATGCACAGGGATGGGTATGCACTGCACAACCGCCCTGACCACTGTTGGAGGCATGATGAATGACGTACAGATGGGTAGAGCGCAGGGTTGAAGGCAATGAGTATAGAGCACACGCACGAGTATGGGGTGTGGGGGTGCAATGTATCACTCCCCTCCCCTGACCACTGATGGAGGCAATTCTTGAGGCAATTCTTGAGGCAATTTTTGAGGCAATTTTCAAAGCACTTTTTGGGTCGCACTGACCTATGCATGCCCCTATGCATGCACCTATGCATGCACCTATGTATGCACCAATACGTGCACCTGTGGATGCACCTATGCATGCACCTATGCATGCACCTATGCGTGCACCTATGCATGCACCTATGTATGCACCAATACGTGCACCTGTGCATGCACCTATGCATGCACCTGTGCATGCACCTATGCATGCACCTATGCATGCACCTATGCATGCCCCTATGCATACAGCATAGGCAGTGAAATCCCTGTGCATGCATACGTGGGTACGGAGCAGGGATGGAAGCACATGGTGCACCGGAATGTAGCCAGTCACATCATATGCTGGATGTGACAATATTGAATGATAAAACACTCACAGCCTATGCTAGGTGTGACCCCTCCTTCCACTAGCCCTGAGCACAGCTCCACTCGATGGGCGCCACCTGGCAGGCAGGGATTGGATAACAATGTGCCACGCCACATGATTTGACAGATGAGACTGACTCGCAGCAAAGTCATCAGAAACGCAGCTAGAGATAGCACCTGGTAACATGAATAATAACGAGTTTCACAATAGGAGTCACGATACTGTTCCCTGACCACGGCTGAGACTGAAGCCCACCTTTATGAGCTTGTCTTAAAAAGCCCACCTTTTTTAGCTTCAGTCTTAAAAAGCCCACCTTGATGAGCTTCAGAGAAGCCCACCTTGATGAGCTTCAGCGAAGCCCATCTTTATCCGCAACACACGACGAGCGTGCAGCTCGACAGCTGAGGCGACCGGTACCAGGTTCATCGTTCACGTACTTCTCGAGGAGCACGCCGCTCGTCGTGATAGGTTTTTGAGAATTTCGTGATAGGTTTTCGAGGATTTCGTGATAGGTTTGTGCGATTTTCCCAAAAAAGCCATGATAGCTGAGGCGACAGAGTACATCCTTCACGCATATCTCGAGGTACACGGCCTTCGTGTGTTGCGGATTCGCTGTGTGCAGCCTCGTTGTAGGTTACAAGTTGCGAAAGCACATCTAGTTCAGTCGTACTAGTAAGGCCCACCTTTATAGGCGGCAATCGCCGATGCGACCGTTTCCACGCATATTTCAAGCTGCACGCTCACTGTGCATAAAGCAGTCGATGTGTGCTAGAAGCTGCCAAACCACAATAACAAGTCTCGAAGTCCCACCTTTATGGGCGGCAATCGCGGATGCGACCGTTTCCACGCATATTTCAAGCTGCACGTTCATCGCGACGAGAAGAGACGAGAGCTAGATGCCGTATCCTCCACGCTCGTATCCTGTGACGAGTCTCGGAGTTAGAATGAGGCTAACTTTTGAGTCGACTCAAGAGTCTCGGAGTTTGAAGGAGGCTAGGAACAAGCTGATACGAAATGGCTCGCCACAGGTAATACTCGTGCAAGTTGCCGTGGTGGCATGGAATGGGGGTGTTGAGGAGTGGTAACTCAGCCGAATCTGGCGGGATTCCTGCATGCCATCCAAACTTCGGTATTTGACAATCGCATCCACAGCGTCCAAGCTAGCGAGTTAGAACCTCGCAGATTAGGTTAGTACATACAGTCTCAGGCAGGTCTCTTGCTAACCGGGTAATTACGCTTAATGTCGAGAAATTAAGAGTAACTTTTCAAGTGATTCCGTTTTTTAACAGTGCGATTTTTTTCCGAATCCTTCCAACTTACGGAAACAATTTCGCGCGATTCCTTAGCCTAACGAGAGATTTGTTTTTTTCCGAATCCGTACTGGCTATACTTAGCAGGGCAATCTGTAGGGGGTAGCGACCGCCCATACCCCCACCCTACCCCCCCCCTCCCCCCCGGCCCAACCCTGCCTTTGATCACTTAATAGCCGAATTTGTAGCGGCCGATTCCTTTCGGTAACGGGTTTTTTTGGGGGAATTCCGTCTGTTAACGGGTGATCCTGAGGCGATTCCGTCCCCTTCCGGAATACCCTGGGGCTTAGCGAGAGGCCTGGTCTCAGGTATTAGTGGAGTTTGACTAATCCTTCAATAAGCAGATCCGCTAAAGGCCTAAGTGCCATGGCGTATGAGACCGTATGGGTTGGGTGGTTGCGTGGGGTCAGTATCGTCTCTTAGCTGATCTACAGGTACTCCAAAACGAGGATAGAACGCGCGCTCGTGGCGGCTCGTACGTCCAGCGCCAAGCCTTTCGGTCATCTTGAACGCCACATGGCTCATGCGAACTGGCTTGGTATTCCACGTCATCCAAACGTGCATGAAACGCGAAACGGGAATGTCGTACGGCGACGAAATTGCCGCCGAAATTCCCTCCCTGCCCCCCCAGTGAGACACCCTCCAGCAGAGCAGAGAGCAACTCCTCTGTTGTCCTGTCATGTCATCTTTCCCGCCAAACACCTCTTCGTGGTTTCCATTGGTTGGGCGAATGTTGTCGTCGTACACCCTACAACCTCCAGTGTCGCACCTCGTACCCACGCTTCTCGCCTCTTCGCAGTTGTCACGTTCGCGAAATCGAAACCGTCTAAAATTCGCGAACGCCATCGAAGACAGTCGGGCTTCGTCAGCCTTCGTGCACCTGGCTTTCTATTCGCCAGACCTTTGACGAACACCGACGAAATAGGGAGCCCAGTTTCCCGTCGCCAACATCGGAGTTTCCCTCTCGTCTGTTCCTCCATCTTTGCAGGCACAGCTCGTGATTCGTGAAGTCTAGCCAGCAGCCCATTTTCGCCCCTCTAATCTCGCAAATTGTGATTACTGAGGTTTCACCTGTTCACCGCAAAGTTTCCTGCTGCAAGTCCGAAATTCCGGAGAGATACTTTTGAGTGATTAGCCTCCTGATCTCTCGCAGCGTTCACGGCTACGCCTGCGTTGCTTCTTCTGGCGCATGTGAAAATAGGCCGAAGGCAAGGGTAATAGGCGACTCGAAAGCAAACCGCGCGAAGGCATCGGGAGGATTCAGCTGGAGTAAGGACTCTGCAAGACACATCAGCACGCAGCAGCAGGTCTCAGGGCACATCAGCAGCGCGCCATCCAGCAGCGCGCCATCAGGACTCAGGCAGGACACATCAGCAGGCATCGAGCATCAACCAGCTTCACAGGCATCAACGCGCAATCATCAGGCGAGCAGTATACGACAAACAGGATATCAACCGGCGATTATCAGGCGATAACCAGGCGATTATCAGGCGACAATCAGGCATCATGTGCATGGGGATGCATATGACCTTCTACTGGGGCGTGGACGCCACCATCCTCTTCTCCTCATGGCACACGCGCACACTCCCGCAGTACTGCATCGCCCTCGCTCTTGTCGCGCTCTCTAGTATCGCGTACGAGGGCCTTAACTCGCTGCGGATCAACGTGGCTGCGGGAAAACTCGCGCGGGCGAACTCCACTGTCACCGACGAATTCACGACCACTCCACTGTAAGATTGCCTTGCTCTTGTTTGTCGCGCCGGCCTATATCGCGTACGAGGGCCTTGTTTCCCTCTGCGTAAAAGTGACAGTGGGAAGCCCGGCCCGGGCGAGCTCTGGCACGGCCAATCCTCTGTCATTCCCGTCATGCCATCCTTCAAAACACGGGATTCTTAGGCCCCTGGATTATTCCGCGCAATCAAACTTGATTCCCCTGGACGACTTACGCCGCTGATATTTTACCCCTCTTGGTATAAAGATTTCATTGGTTTCTGAGCCCCTTGGAGTCCCTTTTTGTCGTCTAACCCCTGCTCTTATCTCTGTGCCTTGTGCCTCAGGCTTACTGGGACCTCTCGCCCCCCGGCCCAGCTATCCTGGATGGATAAGCTGCCTCTCTCCCTGCTGTACATTGCCACGTCAGCCCTGGCCTACCTTCTCATGCTTTCGGCCATGTCCTTCAATGGGGGGATCTTCCTGGCTATCGTCGCTGGGCTAGGTGTGGGCCATTTTATGTTTGGACTGAATCGAGCAAGTCTTGCCTCTCAAGCCAATGCAGAGTCGTGCTGTGCGTAGTGGTAATGCCTGTCTTGTGCTCTAATGAATGAAAATGATTTAACTCAACTTATAGAAGCTCTGAATATGTTCTAATGCACACTGCTTCCACAACATCCTGTCATATTCTAGGTTGTAGTGTACGCATATGACGTGTGCCACTAAGGAAATGCAGGTAAACAAACTACTCTTGAAGGAGAGATGAGTACACGTGAATGTCATATATTTAAGGTTCTCTAACACGGAGGAAATCTATATGGATTCAAATAATGAGAAACCATGGCGAACGTTGGGAAAGCACATTTGGGGAAGGAAGCAAGGAGAACCTGAAATTATGGGTTGTTACTAGAATATAACATTGTGAGAAACTACAGTGCCGTTATAACGAAACTTTATTTCCCGCAGCAAGTCGTAGCTGCGATGGTCCTCTGATTACGCGTCGTGCCAAGTCGCATATGCGACCACGATACACCTCATCAAACCAGGAACTCTGACGACCCATGCGGCCCATCGACGGTAGGCCAATGCTTTTCCTCAACGAACATTGTCCATCCAACGGCTCTATGAACTTTCTACGACGCACGGAACGACAGGAGGCGGGCTTTGTGGGTGGGAGGGAAATCTGACAGAGCAACACCCTCACTTTGGCCGTTCCAGAAGTGAAGCATGGTAGGAGTTGGACCTGTTTTGTCACACTCACATTTGAGGGTCTTCCTCACTCTGACGTTTTCACCTTGTTTGTATTGGAGAGCATCCCAAACCAAGACCTAGAGCACAGATTCAGTAGCTTGTAGCTTGCAGATCGGCGCAGGGTGTTCTTTCGCTGCGTCCTCCGTACACAGTTTCTCACTTCATTTCTTTGCCTGCTTCCATGGCCGACCAATTGTCGGAGGATCAGATTGCGGAGTTCAAGGAAGCTTTCAGCTTATTTGACAAGGATGGAGATGGTGCGTTCGGTCTTCAGGCATTGGCGAATGGTGTCTCTCCTTTTATGCAGAGTGATGAAGGCAACAGCGTAGTAAAGCTCTTCTGTTATTGTAGATCTGGCCTAAGATGTCACTCTGGCTTTCTTCACAGGTAGCATTACAACGAAGGAGCTCGGAACTGTCATGCGGTCTTTGGGACAGAATCCGACTGAGGCTGAGCTTCAAGACATGATCAATGAAGTCGATGCGGATGGAAACGGGACGATCGACTTTCCAGAGTTCTTGAACCTTATGGCGAGGAAAATGAAGGTGAATATTTTTCTTTCGGTGCATATGTATATTCAGCCAGTCATGATGAAACCTTTCTGAGATCTCCAAATTTATTGATTCCAGGACACGGATTCTGAGGAGGAGTTGAAGGAGGCGTTTAAGGTGTTCGACAAGGACCAAAACGGGTTCATTTCGGCGCAGGAGGTACGCTGGTGCTGGGTTGGATTGGCTCGATCATGTTTTCTTCCTCAGCGGTTTAGTTGTCTAATGCCCTTACGCAACCCTTGTATTTTTGGCAGCTTCGACACGTGATGACGAATTTGGGAGAGAAGCTGACAGATGAGGAGGTTGATGAGATGATTCGAGAGGCTGATGTGGATGGTGATGGACAGGTGAACTACGAAGAGTTTGTGAAAATGATGATGGCAAAGTAGGCTAGCTTGACTGTATTATCAGTAGTCATTTTCAGTGGCGCTTCTCAGGCTCAAATGAAAAGTTTAGACCAGTATGTGTAGGGTCCTGAATTGAAAGTGACCATGATGCTTAGCTTACGTGACTTGGTCCAGCCCCCGTACTGTAAAGTTCATATTTATTGGCATTAGAGTTAAGAAACAAATTACACAAGCATCTGCACAAGGGTTTTGTAGAATGGACGTATTCTTGGTGGTTGTGATGGGATTCTTAGGAAGTCGTAGTGTTTCAATAGTGTACCCCTCGTCCCCATCACAAATCCGAGTCATCAGGAAGTCTGGGAGGGTTTCTTCCTTACTGTCAGGTCCCAATTCAGCGTGCTGCAGACATCTCCCACCAGTAACTCGCTTCTAGGGCCTTCTGCCTGCCGTCTCTAGGGTGCTTAGCTCTCATTTATCCTCGGCTTTGGTTACGGTCGGGGTCCCCAGTTTTTTTACGAGAGATTCTGTTGAGATGGCCGACCAGCTGTCTGAGGATCAGATTGCGGAGTTTAAGGAAGCCTTCAGCTTATTTGACAAAGATGGAGATGGTGCGTTGGTCAGATTTTGCGTATGAGCTGGTGCAGGCTTCATGACGAATTCCACCTGCGAAGTATTGAACGATGCTGTCTTATCGTTTAGTGCCAGGCATGGATCTCAACTTAGCATGTTTTCCCTGGGGTGTCCACAGGCAGCATCACAACGAAAGAACTTGGCACCGTCATGCGGTCATTGGGACAAAATCCCACTGAGGCCGAGTTGCAAGATATGATTAATGAGGTCGACGCTGACGGCAACGGCACGATTGACTTTCCCGAGTTCCTGAACCTTATGGCGAGGAAAATGAAGGTCAGTATTCTCTATGTATTATCGTCTAGACATTCCAGGCCGCTTTGTAACCCTCAAGTTCGTTTTACTTCAGGATACCGATTCTGAAGAGGAGCTGAAGGAAGCATTCAAGGTGTTCGACAAAGACCAGAACGGCTTTATTTCGGCGCAGGAGGTACGTGGGCCCTGTGTACATTGGTACGCCAGGAGTACCTTGGAAAATGAAATTCATGTTCATTGAGAATTCCTTTTCCTGAAATTTCTACACTTTATCCTGCAGCTTCGGCACGTGATGACGAACCTGGGAGAGAAATTGACAGACGAGGAGGTTGACGAGATGATCAGGGAAGCGGATGTGGACGGAGATGGCCAGGTTAATTATGAGGAGTTTGTGAAGATGATGATGGCGAAATAAGTCAAGCACAATCCATCCTCGTCAAGCACAATCTCTCTTAATTTCCTTCTTCCTCAGCTGCTGACTGGGTATCCTGAAGCCCCCATTCTTGTCCCAGGTTTGGAGCTTAGGGATGCTCACTCAGCCATGGACAACACTTGTGAGCTCTGATGTTCTGCCTTCAATTCCTGTCGGTGCAGTAGTGGGGTAGATGCCTCTTGGTTTCCACAGGGTTGTAAAACAGTACCTAGATTCAATCGTTAGGTCTGAAACGCTGATGCTGGTTGTTGCTCTGTACAGCACTAGGTTCAGAAGCGATACTCAGCTGGCTGGATCTGTGCATAACGCATTTGTTACAACATTGCATTGAATGAAACATTGTGCCCGATTATTTTTTTTGGGCTTTAAGGAGATCCCAGGAGGAAAACGTTGTGCCGGAGCTCCAGCAGTTGCCATGCTTCACTGAATGGAGGGGTGGTCATTGTTTGCCATCCCTAGGATCACTGGTGAGATCATTGAATGTCTCAATTGCCTTCTGAGCCAGCCTTGTCACTTCATAGTCCACCATTGCCTGCAGGAGGGAACGAGCGGCAGATGCACGAGCACGTGGAAGGTGAGAAATGGAGGAAGCTGCGGAAACCCTATTGGAGTGGTGAAATCATTGAATGCCATTCCTAGGATCACTGGTGAGGTCATTGAAAGTCAATCGCCTTCTGAGCCAGCCTTGTCACTTCATAGTCCACCATAGCTTGGAAGGGGGAACAAAGTGCAAGTTTCAAGAGTGTGAAACCATTGTAGGTGGGGGGGGGTGAATGTTGGGGAAGTGGGGTTCGAAGGTAGAGCGAAAAAATAATGAGAGAGGGGAGATATGGGAAAGAGTGAAAGGGCCTAATCTGGAAGTTCGGCAGGAAAACCGAATGCAACGCTCGTTCCTCAGCATGTCAGAGTACACCTGGTACCACCCGCTCCCAGGCGTCCACAGCTCCATAAAACCCCCCAGCCCCTGAAGGCCTGCCATAGCAGTCACCACCACACCACACCACTCCATACCACTCCATACCACAGCATACCCTTACATACCTCCATGTAGGAATCGAATACCACGTCTTTCCCCAGCATGTCCGAGTACACCTGGTACCATCCGCTCCCGGGCGACCACAGCTCCTTGAAATCTTGCAGCAGCCGCACGTTGAACTTGTCTTTCAGCGGATCGAAGAAACCGGGCGAGCGCTCGTCCGTGGAGACGTAGAGAAACCGACCCGGTTGAATCAGCTCAGGCAACCGTTTCAGCAGGCTGGAAGGGAGGGGGAGAAGGGGGATGGGGGACAAGGGGAGGGGGAGAAGGGGGATGCGGGAAGAGGGGAGGGGGAGAAGGGGGATGCGGGAAGAGGGGAGGGGGAGAAGGGGGATGGGGGACAAGGGGAGGGGGAGAAGAGGGATGGGGGAAGAGGGGAGGGGGAGAAGGGGGATGGGGGAAGAGGGGAGGGGGAGAAGGGGGATGGGGGAAGAGGGGAGGGGGAGAAGGGGGATGGGGGAAGAGGGGAGGTGGAGAAGGGGGATGGGGGAAGAGGGGAGGTGGAGAAGGGGGATGGGGGAAGAGGGGAGAACTCCTTGAGGACGCCGGGGTGCAGGGGACGCCGGGGTGCAGGGGTATGAAAGAGGTGAAGTGGAAGGGGTGATAATTTGAGAAATCCCCCAGCACTTGAGAAGACCACAGCTCCTTGAAATCCCCCAGCAGCCGCACGTTGAACTTGTCTCTCAGCGGATCGAAGAATCCCGGCTAGCACTCGTCTGTTGACACGTAGAGAAACCGGCCGGGTTGGATCAACTCTGGCAGGCGCTTCAGCAGGCTGGTGGAAACAGGGGGGAGAGAAAAAATCTCGGAAAAAAAAAAAAGGAGGTTTCAAGAAGCCCTGAGTGTGCCTGGTGTTTGCCTGCTGAGCCGAAGAGAAACAGGATCAGTTGGATTAATTCTGGGAGGCGTTTCAGCAGGCTGGTGGAAACAGGGGGGAGAGAAACCATGTGACCCATCCCACGTGTAACCATGTGACTTTACATGCCATATAACCCTATACATATCACCCCATACATATCACCCCATACATACATATCACCCCATGTCACATGCCACGTCACATGCCATGTCATCGTAGTGGCTGTTGCTCTTATGGAGTGGCCCATCCCCATGCGTTGCTGCTAGCAAGGTGACCTGTGAGTCGACTTGAAAGGCACATGCACCACATGGTAGTTGCTGTTGATCATCATACATACCGGTACACCCCACATGCACATGCACAAGCATGTTGTGTTGACATTCATGCCCCGTGTACTTTGAGTCGACGCAGCATGCGTCACAGTTGTTGCTGTTGTCCAACATGCATGTTGACGCACCTTTCAGCTCGTGTGTCCTTGTCAAGGTTGGGCCACCTCTTGGAGTCCCGCGCCTTGTCCCCCCCGCCGAACGTGCACCGCATACACACACACACACCATGCATAACAACCACGTGCACCTGATATCTCATCACATACGCATCAGCTCGTGTGTCTTTGTCCAAGTTGGGCCACCGCTTGGAGTCCAGCGCCTTGTCCCCTCTCCTCACGTGCACCACATCGTAGTTGCTGTTGTTCATCTGGAGGGTAATGTTGGAAATTACCCACTGGATCTCCTTTTGCATGGGCAGCAGGGACCAGTTGCGGGGGAGCGACTGGCATGAGAGAAACAAAAAAAAACGGAGACAGAGGACAGACAAGGGGAAGGGAGGGAGGGAGGGAGGGAGGGAGGGAGGGAGGGAGGGAGGGAGGGGGGTGAGAAAGATTGGAGGAGAGTTAGAGGCGCACACAGCAGACCCAGCGGGTGTCCCTTAGAGTTGACTCAAACAGCATTACACACTGGATCTCCTTTCGCATGGGCAGCAGGGACCATTGGCGCGGGAGGGAGCGACTGGCGGGTGGGGAAGAAACGAGAAGTAAACGAGGCTGGTGACTCGGGAACCCAGAGGAAACGAGAGTGGGGAGGAATAACCGAGAAAGCAAATCTCAGGATGAGAAAGAGCGGAGTGTGTAATGAGTCGACTCAAAAATCGACTCATTACACGCAAATCTCAGGAAGAGAAAGAGAAGGAGGGGAAATGGATGTGCAGGGAAAAATCCGAATGATCAGCTGCACTTCCCTGCTCTCCCCCACCCCCTTCTCCGTTACTTCTCTTGAGGCGCCTCAAAAGTTACTTCTCTCGCCCTCTGTCATCCCTCCGCCCCTCCTCTGCAAATACTGGGAAGGAGGGCTCTCCCCCAACCCCCTTTTCCGGGAAAGGGAGGGAGGGATGACAGAGTTACTTCACTCGCCCTCTGTCATCCCTCCCTCCTTCCCCCCTCTGCAAATACTGTCTCTCGCTCGCCCTAGCATACCTTTTGAGGCGCCTCAAAAGTCATACCCTAACCTAAACCAGCAAGAACCCCTGAATCCACCACAACTCACCACTCGCTCAGGTGCATGGCAGGCTGTGATTCCAAAGTCCAAAGCCCAAGTGCACAGATTTTGGAATCGCGGATCCCCCACACATGGCCTCAGTGCACTCACGACACTGTAGCATGCATCATCACAACTCACAGCGCCCTCAGGTGCATCGCAGGCATGGGTTCCGTTTTTTATAATTCTAAATAACAGCGATCCCAAATTTGATGCAGCAGTGAGATTGCAAACTACCAGCTGAACATCCCTCCTCTCGCCCTCAGCAAGTCAAATTTCTAGCCCTTGCACCCTCGAACCCGAAAACCCGAAACCCACAAGTCTCCGCTGCGGCGCCGGCCCCTCAGGAGCGTCGCAGGCAGCGAATCCAAAATCGGAAGCTGCGGAGTGTTTTTGAGAATTCTCAAAAACACTCCGCAAAATCCAGAATCGGAAGCTGTGGTAAGATTGCGAATGATCAGTGCGGCACATCCCTCCTCTCCCCC